CTCTTCCTGGCCATTGGTTTCGGGCTCTTGCTCATTCGGAGTGTCGGCCCATTCATTGACGATTGCCTCCTCCGTTTGAACTGGTGGTTGCGTTTGTGGCTCTAGCTCCTCCTTCGGTGGGTTCCGTAGCAAATGATGTAGATAAACCTTTGCACCGAGAAGGACAATCTGCTGCTTCACGGCCTCGGCCTCGTTAGCAAAATCCTGAACCAGGATTCGCAGGACATCGGGAGCAATGTTTCGTTCGGGTTCGGCACCGGCAAATTCTCCGACAAGCCACACGATCGTAGCTCTTGCATCGGGATTGCTTGTCAGCCCTAGATGCTTTACGAGCTGAATGACCGTCTTTTCGTGCGAAGGGGGATCTTGCTGGATGAGATGACGAATGACGGTCAGCGACTCCGCTACCAGATTATCGTCCTGGCTCGTAATCTGGCTGAGCAGGACTCGCAGGCAGTGATTCGCAGCGCTGGTATCAGCTTGCGCACAACGCCCTATTGCGCGTACACTTTCTCGGACCATCTCCGGGTTTGTGCTTTGCGAGAAATGCTGGAGCTCGCTCAAAATCACATTCTTTAGATGCTGCCCACAGTAGGGGAATATTATTGTGAGCACCTCGAGCTTGAGACGCCATATGTGAGGCGGGTCAATGGCATGAACCAAGAAATGCGTGGCATACTTCGTGAATGGCTTGGGGTGTCTCAAAGCCACGACCACGATGTTGTAGAGCGCAACATGCTGCACATCTTGGGGGCTTCGGAGCAGAGCGATGAGTGGACCCACAGCAGCTTCAAGGTACTCGGGCGTACCGAGATGAAGGAAACAGCGGACAATACTAACGATCACGGCTGAGTTACGATTCTGCAACAGCAACAGACAAGCACGCAGGAAAAGTTCCAAATCCGGATCCAAGACCGGTACCTCGTCCAGATCGGCCTCGTTGCCCTCAGTCACATCATCGCCATTTTCTTCATCTTCGTAGAACCCTTTGGTTTCTGTCGCGCGCTTAACCTTCTTGGTCTTGCGAGGAAAGCACTGTCGGGCGTAGAAAGTAAGAAGACGCAGCGTTGCCAGCTGGCTCCACTCATCCATGTCTACCAGCTTCTTGACAAGGGTCCGGTAGTGCTTGTGAATCAGGTCAATCCGGTCGGGGCAAACCTCCAGGAACGCGGCCACCGCGGGCCCGAGGACAAAGTACTGGGTGTCACCGAGCAATGTAGTAATATAACCAACCAGCTGCGGCAGGGAGTTCGGATCCAGGCGATAACACTTCGGGATGGCCAGTGCCGCGGCCTTGCGCACATGCGGGCTCATATCCCCGCATCCCCTCTTGATAGCAAGGGATACAATCTGGCTGATGACCGGGACTCTGATCCCAGCCATTGTGCGAAGCGCCATGGCGCGCGCATGCGGGTTCTGGTCTGTAAGCGACTTCTGAATGGCGTTGATGGACAGCAGCGCAAGGTCCGGTTCCGTCTCTGCATGGTGGACCAAGTAGATATAGACTAGCTTCTTAACCTCGAAGTTGGCGCTTGCTACATTCTTGACAACCGCGGAGAAGAAAGGCAGTGATGGCTCGGCTCGGTACATCAACTGGAGTGCTCACAAAGGACAAGGTTAGTGATTTGTTTCCGTGATTGCGGCTGGTGGGAAGGGTCCGGTCCGTACTGTGATCACCCGTCGCATGCCATCGAGGACTTCGCGGTCACTCCGACTATCCAGTAATTTCTTAATATGCGAGGCCGTCAGGTTGCGGGGAGATACCCCCACGCCGGAGCCTCTATTCAAAGCTGCGGACTGCGCTGCTTCGAGGGTGAGCTCGCGGGCTGTTGACACAACATTCCGATCAGTCAGTCAGTCTACTTAGGCAGCGAGGACAATTGGCGGAAAGACACTCGGGCGGACAGTACCTGTTTCCAGCATGGAAGAGATCCGTGAAATGGTCTCCATTTTTGCCTCCGAAGCCCGTCACGGGAAAGCGATAATAGACGAGGCTTTAGAGGGGGAAGCGCTCCGTGACGCAGAGCTAGAGAGCAGTTGGGTGCTCGGCGATTCTCTGGCGGGCAGCCGAAGTGACGATTTGAGGTAACGTGCTTGGGTAAGTTAAGTAACTTAGTTATCGATTGGGTGGATCCACTGCACCCTTCAAGCTTTCCCGCGCACGTACAGTAAGTACAGTACCCCGTACCTCATTCCGGTCTTCATCCTCCTCCCTAACGTCCCAGCTTGACATCTATCGGTGTCTGACTCGCCGATTGCAACAGTGGTATGGCCGCGAAAATAGCCTCTTCAGCTCTCATGTGCTAGAAAAGCGGAAAAAAAGCCCTCGTCCAAGTGGCTGCATTTGCAGAGCAGTCAACCCAGCCATGGGCTCGACCAGACAAATATATTCTACCGGCTCTACTCCCGAGTTCCTACAATCAATTATACAACATGACTCTTTCTCAACAACCCTGATTGTATGCTCGACCAGGGATCAATTTTTGACCCGAATGCTCGCTGCTACTCATCCAGCCAGGGGAGAAGCCGCTAGGCACCATCACATCTACGATAAAACCATAGGACTGCTGTCTAGATCCACCCGGGTTAGAGTACTATTCTGCCCAACCCTGGAGAATCTGCGCGCGTGTTTGTCTGTAGTAGGGTCTCAACGGGTCCAGCATCAGAATAAGAAGGAAATACACGGGCAGACCGAAGCACGGCCTCTATTAGCAGTCCTTGACTCTTTATCCCTCCATTTCCCAACAACGGAATTCTCCGCGCAGGGCCTGTCCAGAACCTTTGCAGCTCTGGCAGAAACCTCCTCCAAAGCAGATATGGACCTTGTGCTCTGCGAATGCCAAGACTCAACGAACCCTGAAGTCTCACCGTGGAATGCACAGGTGCCCATGCTGAATAGTACTGTGCGTGTCTCAGAGGAGAACGCCCTCTTTCGACGAACTGTACCCGTGAAACGAGTCGCAGAACGCTGGTTCGAGTTCATTGAGAAAGCCTATACCACTGCAGGCACCATGGACGATGCACAGGGTAATACTCAAACACATACTGAGATAGATGAGGACAGAGATATTCAATAACACTCAGTAATGAAAGACTCCCACAATGCAATACTTGAATCATACGGGTATCCTAGAACCAATCCATAAACTCCCGAAATCGCGCCCCAGACAGAATTGCCTCAGATCATAAACATTTCTCCATATCAGTGATGTAAAGTTTGATATGCGACTCTAGCTTCAGGTATTCGTCATGAGCGCCTTGAATCTCGCTTTCAATGTTCTCTTTGAGATCGGCCATCTAGATAACGGTTAGTTAAGCTCGGTGACAGTTAGAGGTGATAACTGACCTTCTTCTCGGTCTGTTCGATGCGGATTCTTCGACGCTCCATGTCGCGCTGCTTGTCTGCTCGCTCCTCACGAAGTTGTTTCTGGATTTCCCGCAGCTCTTCCATGCGGGCTTGGGCTGCCTCGGCCTTCTCTTGCGCGTTCTTCCGCAGAGCCTCGATTCTCTCATTCCACCGCGTCAATTGTCGCTGCAGTAGTTTCTCTGTCTGCTCCACTTCCCTTACATTGTTACCTCTCTCCGAAATAGCTTCTTTGTTTCTAGAAGCTCTAGACTCTTCTTCCTCCTCTTTCTGAAGCTCAACGGAGATATCTTCCAGGAGCTTCACGCATGCCTGTACATCATTGCTGACAACAGTGAACGTATCGGACGAGGTTTGCAAAGCTCTTGCCCGCTTCTCCATGGCATCAATCTGAGCCTTCTCACGATACAGATTCTCAGACAGTTCAGCCAGGGATGACTGAAGCGAGGCGGGACTGTCCATCACGTAAGGTCGTAGTTTCTCGACCTCCTGTCGGGTGCGCACCACCCTTTCTGTCTTCTCTTCGAGCTGTGCCTGTCGTCTGGCCTTGTCCGCCTTGACACGCTCCAGTGTCTCCGCCACTCGCTCCTGGTTTCGTCTCAACTCGAGGAGCCGTGCTTTCAATTCATCGTTCCTCCGGACTTTCTCCTTGACCTGGGCCTCGTTGGCTTTCAGAGTCCGGCGCATCTCCTCAAGGCGCTGTTCCATCTCCTGATTCTCACCGTAGAGGGTGTCGATGCGTGCTTTCGTCTTCTCCGCCTTGTTGAAATGCTCGTCGATCACGGGGGTTTGCGACTCGCGGAAGCGCACGAAATTGATGAGATAGGAAAAGATCTTGACGAGACGGTCGTGCGTCGGCTTGGTCAGGTCGGTAAAAGTAAAATCATTGACACCGCACTGGTTGGCAGTTACAACAGTCAGTCAGTAGTCACAACCGAGAGGGGGGGGGGGGGGGGCGTGAGATCGGTAAGTTGGCGAAATACCTCCATCATCAACCGCCGCAGACCGGTGAAAAATCCCATCAAGTTGCGTGTATCCGTGGGCACGATATCCGGATAATCGCCACAAACATCATCTGCTGCCGCGCGCATTGCTGGTTCCACCGTTTCGCGGGTGTTGTTCATCAGGAGTTCCGCAAACCACTCGAAGACCATCTGAATCTGCTGCGGGTTCGGTTTGATCAGGTCGGCGGCAGTGAAGGGTATGCCGATGTCGTTGATACATCCTGCAATCTCTTTGTCTGGCTACTGAGAATGTCAGAGGGCACGAAGTCGCAGACGAGTGCGCAGATTTGTGAGATGCACTCACCAGTCGCATTAGAGCATCGTTTTCATCTTCTTTCTTGCGGCCGCCTCTATTGTGGTGCTGCTGGGAGCCGTGGAACTGTTGGCTCATTCGATGACCGTACGACATATTGCAGAAAAGCCCTCTCCACGAGACGACGCCGAGATTGTTCGTCGGAGAAGATGTGGTGCAAACGTGGTTCTCGTGTTTCGACCGGATGTTATGATTGATTGTTTACAGTGAAGGGCCTCGCATGGCAACCGGAAGCGGACTAGCGCACCAGAGGAGGGGCACTGTATACAAACGATGCAAACTTACTCCACGCTTCCCTTTTTCGATGACTCTGCGGCGAAGCGACCATGGGACAATAATTGTTACGGATAATTGCTGCACGACAGCTTCCTACGGACTTTTCGTTCCATCATTCCTCCAGAGCTGCTCAGCGCATCATCAGTCACCATGGCAGCCGCCACTTCCACCTCGGCGAAGCCGTTCGAGTAAGTGGTCGAACCTGACGCCGTGGAAAGCCCATGCGGCCTTAGGAAATTGCTAACAACCGCCAGCATTGTCGCGACGTACAATGAGCTGCTCCGCTCCGATCCAGATTTGACCATGCCTATCGCCGCTATCGAGGCCTTGGTGCTCCTCCTCACACACTCCCCTTCCTCGACGATATCAGAGACGCTCGATCTGCTGGAGAAATCCACCGCACACTTAAAACAGTCGATCCCGAACCCCATTGGCCTCTCCGCTGGAACCGATCTCTTCCAGCGATACCTGATCACTACGCTACAGAGACCCGGTCAGCTTGGACCCGCCGGGGACTTCAACGCTATCAGGGCGCACCTGCTGTCCAACGGCCGGCTGTTCATCAGACGTGCGAAGGAAAGCCGAGACAAGATTGCGGCGTTCGGAAGAGGCTTCGTCCGGGACGGAAGCACGGTCCTGACGAACGGTGGCTCCAGAGTCGTGGCCTCGCTGCTGCAGCAGGCTGCCGGTGAGAAGGGCGGCCCGTCCGCCGTTCGATTCCGGGTGATCTACGTGCTGTCCCCGGCCAAGGGCGATGTCGAGGGCTCGTCCGCGGAGCCCGAGGGTATGGAGACGGTCCGCGCGCTGCGTGAGAAGGGCGTCCCGGTGGCCACGATCCCGGAGTCCGCCGTCGCGTACTCGCTTGGCAAGGCCGACGTGGTCATTGTCGGTGCGGAGGGTGTGGTGGAGAACGGCGGAATCGTGTCGAGAATGGGCACCTACCAGATCGGTCTGCTGGCCAAGGCCATGGGCAAGCCTTTCTACGTTGTGGCGGAGAGCCACAAGTTCGTCCGTCTCTACCCGCTTGGACAGTACGACCTGCCCATCGAGCAGCGCGTGATCGACTTCAAGACCGAGGAAGATGTCGCCGACGAAGCCACGCAGCAGCAGCAACAAGCACAGCCCACGCCCAACGTCAAGTCGCCAGATAGCTCGGACGTTGTTGACTACACCCCTCCCCATCTGATATCCGCACTGATCACAGACAGCGGCGTCTTGACGCCAAGTGCGGTGAGTGAGGAGTTGATTAAGATCTGGTTTTAGTTTATGCTTCCCGTGCCCGATCAAGAGAGGTGGAGGGAGTTGCAGCTTGTGGTATCAGTTGAATGAAGCGGATTTTGGCGTTCTAAGGTCATGATATATCCCAACGCTCAAGGCGTTTGTCGGCTTGGAATGATGGTGTGCCTCGTTGTTTCTAATCAGACAAAAAAGTACAATAGATTTGTGACTACATTGTACTGCTGTGTTTTTCTTCTGTAGTGTGATGTGGACGCGCATGATCTGGTTGCTCATCTGAGATTAGAAGCTGCTGTCGCATCGCCCCTTTGTTCCATGGTGATTCCTCAGAGTGAGTTGATTATCTTGCTTGAAGACATGGCACCCCTACGAGCTTGCAAGGCAGCATTTTGACACGCACCTAGCTCAACGCTAAGGATGAAAGAGCAAGAAACAAACTGCGGATATTGCTACACCCTGATCAGAACTATCCTCACGAATCAGCATACCATTCATATCGACAACCTGCCTCCCGCTTAGGAAGTTTACCCCCCCTTTCCTTCCAAATTAATCCCCATCCATCTCAAACCAGGTAACCGCCCAAAAGCACACATCCAATCATCGGGTCTCCAACTCGAAAACCATTGCACACAACCATGGGATCATCAGTACCAGATTCCCCAATAACCTCACCCAAATGTACATCGCACTGTACAGCCCCAACAAACCATCCCCCACAACACCCGCGCCATCCGCAGAGGAACCAATCCACTATCAAGACAGCTCTGCTCTCAAAGTGAAACCAACATACCACCATCAGCAACCGATAACAAGCCCACCTCCAGACTGTACCAAAATCCCACCTCCCGCCACAACCGATAGCCCAGAAAACCCCTGACAGACCATTCCACTTCTCAACCCCACCCAGCGTGATTCGAATTCCCAACCCAACGATAAAAGTGCCACTACCAGGTTGTACCTGTTCCATCTACCATGCCCCGCAACACACAGACAGGCAGCCACAACATCTACATCCAGGCCCAAGCGAGGGAGGAAGAGGGAGTAGAGAGTTCTGGCCTGGAATGAGAGGCATTGATTGCTGCTCGAACCCTTTGCCTTACTGTATTGTTGCGGTGAAGGCGGGGGGGAAAGGGGATAGAACTCTCTTCTTTGCCGACTCGTTCATCCTGCTATGTCGGTCTCCGTCTCGGGCTGCGGATACGGGAATATCTATGGGCGGGTTTGGAATTTGACTACAGGCTGGACAATGGGATTGTCGTTTTGAGGGTCGTGGAGAGGGGATGGGTGGGGGAGAAAGGTTGGCAGTGAGTACCAGATTGTGCCTGGAGGTGCAGAATGGAAATAGGTTTGGATTTGAGCTTCGTTGTGTTGGGTGGTTGTGCTGGACGTATTGCTCTGGGTCTGTGGTTGTTTTGCTTTCACTTTTTGGGGCTGGCTTGGATTAGAAGGAAGAATGGGTCGAGTACTGTACATGTACATCGAAACATGGGCTGTGGGGAGGGGTTGATGTGCCCTGTACTGCTGTGGCCGGATGGTAATGCATGGTTGGGGATGGATGGTCCCGAATGTAATCAAGGATAGGAGGATGAGATTGGGCTGATGCGGTGGGTTGGCTTGTGGGTTGTACGACTAGATTGTCATGTAGCGAGCAAGAGTATGAAAGGTCTCTTTACTGGGGCGACTTCAAGAACAGGACTATCCGTGGCTCGTATGTGAACGAGGCGAGACTCAGATATACATGCCTTCATTAGCATGCAGACGAGATGGACATACGAGAGACCTCATCCCACAATTGGCCTGATCTAGCAAGCCATCCCCACCTTTTGGCCGTAGATCCAACTACCGTAGGTCAAGTACATACTACAGGTTCTCATATAACCCTCCAAGGCTCCTGAATTGGTGCAGTATAACAGCCTGTATAGTGAACTGTATCTGGTCTAAGTTATTGTTTGGCATCTTTCGGCTTGATTGAAGGTCTATATATTGAACAAGCAATGCATCAGCAGTTTCCTATGAACTTACCAGTATGTTAGCGGGATAGAGAGTCAAGAGTACAGGTAACTTCTGCCTGGCTGAACAGGAGGTGGAAATACAAAGTTGTAATGTTGTCGCTGCCCTTATCAGATCTTGATGGACTATCAAGCATGAATGGGTGCCTGCCAGCACCACCCCCTCATTCCAATCAGTGGCGACAAATTGAATGGACAGCATGAGGTCAGAGAGCTGCCTTGAGCTAGAGGGCTGTGCTTGTCAATGACCGTACTTGGTGGCAGCTAAGAGCCCTTGCCTGAGATATCACGCCCTCAGCTAGTCAAAGCTGGCGGGGACCTATTCCACGTCAGCCGATGGACCCAGTGATTTCAAACGTCACTTACATCTTTCATAACTACTACCATATAGATACAGTGGACCGGTGGAAAAAGCGCCCGGTCAGAATGAGTGGGATATTGCATGGCCACATCATATGACTACTACAGCTATGAGATCACGGGTACCTAGTGACAGTACTGTATGAGCAGGCTCGCTCCAGTCGCAGCTACGATACTGTACATGTCAGTAACTTAGTACGCGGTACGGTAGGCAGTCTTCTAGAACATCGATTTAAATCTCCACCAGTGGTTCGTACTGGACAGCAACAATAGCGGATGGGGCGAACACGTGCGTCCCTCATTAAACCATGGGCGAAGGTCCCCATCCTCGAACCGTGGTTTGGTTCTCTATTTCTGTCCCGCTTGTTGTGCCCTCCCTCCGAGGGTTCCGAAGTTAATCCAGAGTACATACTGAGTTAACATGTAAATTCGATCCATTATATCCCGCCAAGACACCAATGATCAATGGATCAATGTGACCGTCGGCCTACAGCGACACAACTTACAATTACATACCATAATATTCACACCCTCATCTGAGTTTAAACAGCAAACCGGAGTTATCCCGTAGCTGCGCCCAGTATCTCCGCGACCTATTGAATTTGCGGTAAGCAATAAGCAATCCATCCTATTGCGAACAAATCCAATAACCGCTTGAGACAGGTTTCGAACCTCTCTTTGATCGCTCTAATGAAGACTGCTTCCATCCAAACCTCACTTGAACACTCAGCTAAACACCAACCAACAATAATTGCGCACCTGGCCGGTCCATTCATCCAAGCCCTCCGCCGCCGCCCACCAGCCACCATTGAATACTTCGTTGTTGCCTTTGAGTACAATTCCGGACCCAGCTTCACATCAAAGCAGTTTCGGTCCGAGTAACAGCACAGACGACTCTCCACCTAAAATAACTGAATTAGATCAAACCTATCTACTATCCTGGCAGAAGCAAACCTATTTCCCTCTGAAGACTCGCTAGTGCCAAAAGGAAAAAAAAAAAAAAAAAAAGGAAGGCATCGCCCCGTTGCCAACATTGTTCAAAACCAATCCACCATTGTCCCCGTCAACATTGCCAGAATCCAGTCAGACAAAGAGGCACAGCGTCAATGGCAACAGCCACCACCACAACCTCCACTAGCACATCTTTCCGACAGGACGAACCAAGAGATGAAACCCGATGGCTAGTGCAAGGGTCGTCCTCTTCTTTCGTTCTGAGCTCCCATTCTGGGAACGCTACTGCTGCTACTCTTACTGCTACTGCTAGTAAAAAGAACGAGACGCACGACTCGTGGTCTATAAAGCGGTTCCTAAGCCGCCACGTGAGTCGTCGATATCGCGTTCTCGAGGGGGAGCCAAATAGATTGCGAAAGCGATGTACCCGGTAGCTCCATATCGCCGCGATGCATTGGGAGGTCCGGGGCATCTCCATGAAGACTCTGGGTCATCTAAATTCGGAGAATCTACTGTTCTTGACTGGATTTTCTTTTTCTTCCCACTTGGGGAGGGGGGCAAGTTCGTTTTGATTGGAATATTTTGGATATCTGCGCGTCTTCAGTAGCTACTTTGCTGGTGCCAACAGTGTTGATTCATGTCGGTTGAGGGTTGTGTGGATATCGAAGTGGGCAAAGTATTTGACTACCGCAAATGATGTTGACGTCATTGGTTGGGGTTAACTCTTTGGGGTTTTATCTTATCTATTGATTGGCGTGAGTTTGGAGTGGCCTTTTGGCTTGGGGGGTGTCTCGACGCTGTGCGAACTTCTTTCGCTCTGTGTGCCAGAAGATGAAAACGATGCTCTGTGGCGGACGAGGAATATGGATCCAGCCGCGTTAAAGATGCCTAGCCAGTAGGTATGCATGCTGTCGGGAAAGGCGCTCAACTCCAAGACGTGGCGTCCGATGCTTGAACGTTTTCCGAGGGCTGTTCTAATTCTGGTTTTAGCGTCGCAGTGGTCGATGGTGTGGTGGTTGTCCATATAATAAAATGTGCAAAGAATTCAGCTACACAACCAGACTAACACGTGAAGCATCCCCGGCAGGCAGTTTATCGGAGCATCTTATAGTCATGGCTACAGGGCACAAGCAACCACCCTTCTTATGTTGGTGCCGAACAGCTGCCAGCGCACCATCCAACGTGGTCCCTTACAACCCATTCCGGAAATTTAAGCTTAGCCTGACTCTGGATGCCAATCCATCGCTCGTTAACTCTGGCTATTCGAACAACGAGACTGTCTGCCATATCTAGCCCCGCACGTACCAGGGCTACAGTCCTAATCCACACGTATCATTTTCAGATACTGCATCAATCAGGCAAAAGCGGGCTACCGTACCGATCCTGTGCCGATCATCGGGCAAGTCCAGAATAGACTAGATGTCTGAGGGTTGTTGGGTTGTCTGCGCCCTGCACGACGGGGAAGCCCCCCATACACTATTAAATGAAGTATAACATTTGGCGCTGATTGTGTGGAATGATGGATAGCTCACGTGGCGGGTTTGTGGCTGAGGAGGGAGGCGAATCCTCTCGCTTCCAACGGGGCGAGGAATGATCGGCATCCTAGGTATGAGTACTGTGTATCATTCAGTATGTGTATCTTTTGCAAGTGGCTGAGTACGAAAGTGGGCTTTTTGGGTGGTAAGTCAACCCAGGCATACACATTAACGCTGATGGGTGTTTTGGGGAGAGGCTGTTTTGTTGTTGCCTGTGCTCTGAGCCACTGTAGTCGGGATTCTGTTGAATCGCCACAGTAGATCTCATGTGATTCCAGGTAGTGGGGATTGTTGATCAGCCGTTGGAGGACGGAAGATGAAAGACTTCAAAGTTGATGAGGGGCGTGAATGGACACGCAGTTGGTATTGCACATATACTGCAAGACTAGCGGTTATCAGATTGAGAAGTACCTATATTGTACTGTACTACTCTCAGAGGGTATAGAACAACCAGCCAAACTCTGATACTCGTAGAATCCTAAGGAGAATGAATCACAGTACTCATACGTACTGTACGAAGTGATCTGCAGCTGTAAGTAAGCCTAGCACAATAACCTCTGCCCTACATTTGGGCGCATGCTCGATGATTAGCCCGAGAAGGGGTCCCTGCACAGGGCAGCAAACAACCCCCGATTTCCCTATTCCCTGCGAAGATCAGCCCGTTGAACTGCCGGTCCTGCTGTCCTCCCCTCCTCCCACCCCCTTCTTCCCCAACAACTCCTATCAGTGAAGCAAGGTATACAGTACAGTACAGTCCCCCCACACAGGAAAATAAAATGACATTGAGACCCCATACCTATTCTATAAGCAGGACCCTCGTTTTCACGATGCAGTATGCACGCACATAATTAGACACTTCTTCGCCACACAGTACATATACATCTCAACGGCATGGTCACCGCCAAACCCTTCCCGCATATCGGGCTGCAGCTGGAAGTAACTAACTTGGAGCGTGTTGTCATAGGATACTACTCTCCAGAGACAGATCCCACCCCATGCAACGGCTGGGGGGTGAGCAAGAGGACCAAAGCAAAGAAGGTTGACTGTTCTACACCCGTGCAGTACTGTACCCTTGCCGACCTCTGTAGTACAGAGCTAGCAGATCTGTGATGGAAAGTGAAAGAGGGATGGGCAACAGCAGTTCTGCCCTTTGTATCGGTTTTCTCAACTAGGTATCTCAATTGTAGAAATGGCCCACAGTTTGATTTTAGTGATTGAAAACCAAAAGATAGAATTACTCCGCCTATCATCAACGATGATCGCGCTGGGTGCGAGTGTGACTTTCATTGGTGTAAAGTACAGTACATGAATCGAGATGGAATTCTACTAGCGGCCGAGAGGCAAGTAACTACCAAAGTGTACTGTAACATCGTTCATGGTTCTCGCAAATTGAAATCTATTCATCGCTCATGTAAGTTCCTTTTCAATGGGTACGTGCGGAGTATTTCTCAAAGTGATGGATTACATGCATGAGCCTGGGGGATGAATCAGATTTGATCGCGCGCGCGGACAGAAAGGAAGAGCCCGGCCGGGGGCTTCGCGAAAGAAAAATGCTCGGATAGTACCTTAACAACCGATTGATCAAATAAAAAGCTCCGTACCATGGTCCTGGGAGACTTTCCCGCGTGTCGTTCCTGAATGCTAATTTGGTTTGGCATATTTTTTTTTTTTTTTTTTTTGGTTGTCCCCTTCCCTTCCCCTTCGTGAACAATCCAACAATAAAAATTACCCGACCCAATGAGTGGGGGTTTGTGGCGGATGGAATAATTTCCGACTGTCTCTCCCACGACGAAAGCAATGCAAGGTGGTAAAGTGAAATGTGAGATTGGGAAGAGACCACCGGCACCACCGTGCTGCGCTCCCGTAGTCTAGGGTACACCGTCTCGGCCGGGTTGCAGCGATTCTTTTGTTGTGTTCTCATTCCTCTCTCCAGTCCCTCCCTTCCGTCCGTTCCTTTTCCCCTCTCTTACGGTGGACAAGAAAGATTAGTAAGACGGAATGTCTCACCTGTTCCTTCCTTCGGATTGGGATCTGGCCGGGTCTTTTTTTTGTTCTCTCTGGGGAGGGGAGGGGATGGTAATGTGGTTCAGATGCAGGAACACGGTGATCTACTGTTACTTGTTTGCATTGTCGGAGACTTGGCCCCGGGTGCTCTGGGCGTGGGATCTGTTGGGAATGTATTGAGGGGTACTCCGTACAGGCACTGTAATCTTCTGACAGGATGAATTGTCTTATCACTCTCCATTTCAATTGCTGTTGCTTAGGGGTTGAGGTGAGAGAACTAGTATGAGGAAGGGGGGCTTGTCTAACTGTGTGCACAGTACTCCGTACTCCGTACTTCGTGCTGGACAATCGGCACTGGATAAGATCTCAGCAGAACCTGAGGGAGTGTGGACACGCCGCTCCGATAAGCGGATCCTTCAGGCTTACCGCTGGTCAACCCGCGATTTGACTCGGAGACTTTTTGGCAGCAGAGTGGGCAATTGACTACTCCGTGCTCTAGGCATAAATTGATGACGAGGTGTAGTTATTGAGTATAATCACGGACCGTGGAAGCACAGATTCTAAAGAGTAAAGGGCTTGAATTGAACGGCAGGTGGATATTGATTCCGTCACCAGTCACCAGTTGTGAGCATAGAAATTAAATGAAAAGTCTCTGGGAGTCGTTTATACCTAGCGTCACAGAAGTTTGGCCCTTGCGAAAGGATCGGTGAAGTAAATCGAGTGAGCCACTGACGCAAGTCGACGTTGGTGTTGCCGAGGACTCAATCTAGGGAAAGGTTCTAAGGATGTCAAGGAGGTCAAACGATGGATACTCCTACCTTGATCGGCATTTGATAGACCAATCTATAGCAAAGAGAATGCCTGGTGTTTCTGTAGAATTATACATGTGCTGTAGAGAGTCGGAATAGTGGCTACATCTTGTCCTCTCGCGAGCTGATGTTATAAAAACTCTGGTGTCTGCTCTCGTCACGGTTCCGCACGCTTTGACCACAGCACATTCGACCTGTCAACGATACGCTGTCACGGCCGGCAGGGCGGGATATTAACGACTTTTGGCATCTCCGTAGCAATAAGCAGCCCGAACAGCGGGAAATGAGCTCCCGCGATGGAGATGTTCTTCACTGTACGGGCAGTAGCACTGTCGGGAGAAAGTGTTATGTCCTGAAACACTTCTCGACAAAGAAGTAAACAATAGGGTGGTCTGCATTCAGTGGATATCTGTTTTCGATATGAGGAGGTGCTTTTGCCAACTGTGAGGTCGGCAGCAAATGCACCGCATCTGAGTTGATTCTTATGCATGCCGTCATGTCTGATTTTGATTCTGTATCGGCCGGTATTTCCTTTTTCCAGTGGTTTTATCCCTCGACGGATACCATTAACTCGGCAGCGAGCTAAGAATTAGCGCCGCGATTATGGTTCAGATACCCCCACCATAGGAACCCAACTGCATCGTCATTTGGCCCCTCTGGACGTTCTTCTTTAGCCTTAGAGCACTCTGGGGCTGCGGTTTTGTCACAGGCTCCACCAAGGAGTGGGCGGGAATGATTTTGGGTCTTTACTCGTATGAGTAAGAGTGCGCCCGTTTTACCGTCTTGGGTTTTGCATCACAGCGCTGGTGGTGATGGTGGTGGTCTAGTGATCATCGTGATGCTGGTGATGATGTTGCCCAGCGCCTTACAATCCCGCCCGGCCTGGCTATACAAGGGAGAGTTGCCGCGCGCTCGGATACTCATTCACCATCTGGACAAGATCGAGAAACAGGGTTCAACGTCATTGCATGATTCAGGACCCTTGAGCTACCACGAGCGACGCCCTCGAGTCTCGGTTAAGCTCGAGTCCAGAAGGGGATGGAGTAATAAGCTGCAGCTGCCTTAGCCTTCAGTATGACGAAGGGGTTTTGGGGAGCATATTTGGCTTCAACTGTGGCTCGAGGTAGCTCAATGCAGTTGCCCATAGATTATATGGGCATTTGTTGCATTGCTTTGCTCTGGCACACATCAACCATGTAAATGATTGTGATATGGCCCCCGTTGATCCACCACGATGGGTTCCAACGGCCGAGAAAAGCGCCTTGCCCGCCGCGGCGCCGCCTCTCCTCAAGGACTGTTGTCCGAGCCATGGCCATGATGTAAACTGCTACGTAGGGCAATCTAGAGTTATGTTGTGCAGTAGCTAGATACTAAACAATAAGAAGCATGGACAATGTACAGTACGTTCTATATGTAAATGTATGTAAAATACCCATCTCTGCTTCAGCGGTTTACCTGCCTAGCTTGTCTTCCACATTCTGGACGCCGAGAGAGAGTGGATTGATGTGGAGTACCCGGCAGATACATGACTACGCACTGGGCGGTTACTCTAAGGCAGGTACCAATGAACTTCTTCCACTCCCTTTCCTCGTCAACTCCATTTTGAAGCAATAATAATGAATCGGATTGGGCTTCCATCTGACTCCCTCGACAGTAGTGGATTTTTCTCCACAATTGAAGAGATTTTCCCTCATGATTATCTTTCCTTTTCGAGGTTTTTCCTTTTCTCTGTATTTTTCTTGTTTTCTTTTTTCTTTTTTTTTTCTCATACCGTGGTGGTGATTTTCGTTAGTTCCCGCATGACACATTGCCCACCAGGTATGGAGCACAAGACAGAACGGTCAGAAGGCAGACAAGACGGTTGGAGGTGGCATCTGCATGTAGGTATGTGCTGTACCCAAGAGGAGGAAGAGAAAGAGAACGAGAGAGGGAATAGATTCGGGATGATGCAGGCAAAGTCGAATCAGATCCATCCTATCGATCAATCAATGAATGAATCAATCAATCAATCAATCGAGGGCAGGGGGGAGGGAGGAGGAGGGGAGAGGGCAGAGTCCAATAATACCTGTACCTCAATACCATGCGACTCCATAATCTACCACTGAGTATCATGAACCAGCAGTAACTTACTGGGTACTAGGGAAGTACTCCATACAGCTGTTGTGACGGCCGGCGACGGCCCCAGAGGGCGAGAAAAGTGTGTAACCTTGAACCAACCGAGTACTCCGTAGTTTTCCCCTGGTTCAGAAACGGGCGGCTTGTTTGTCTCGGCCCTCACAGTCCCTCGCCGACTCTCATCGACCATCGTCCTTTTTGGGCTGTTGTCTCTCTGTTCTCTGTCTATTCTCTTCCCCAGTCGGGCTCAAAGCTACGGCTACTGCTGTTGTTGTTGTTGCTGTTGCTGCTGCTGCTGCTGCTTCTTTTTTTTCTTCTTCATCCCCCCCCTTCCTCCTTCTTTCTTCTCCCCTCTTCTTCTTTTTCTCCTTCTCTCCTTTCTTTCCGATTTCCTCGCTTTTTTTTGGACTGCCTTTCTTTCCCTCGCTCTCTTTTAGGATTGCAGTCCTCCTTCCAGATCCCCTTTGGCATCTTTCCCCTCTGACTTTGGGTGATCACGGAGGTCATTTTCCGCCACTCCATGTGGCGTGGCTCCCCCGGGTCTCACTACCAAAGTTAACTACTCTTTACTACGTCAAAAGTCCTGCGAAAGTCCTGCGACTACCATACTTACTTACACTATTGCTACGAAACCGTGACTGCCATCATTTCCTCAATCCTCACTCATCACACCTACCTTTCAGGCCTCCGATCTACCCGCTCGTTCTAAACCAATAGTCACATCCCTTTCACCCCCCTCTCGCTCCACCACCCCTCCCCTCTAAAGCCCCCTCACCCCCCGGGTCTCGACTTCGTACCGCTTTACCTGTATCAAACTATCAAATCCACCGCCTGGGGCATCCTTCTTTAGGTACATCCGCTAGAACGGCCTTGTGCTCCCGGCACTTTCCCCCGTCGCTCTGAATGTCTCGGTTCGCCTCCGCTACCTGTCAATCCCAATCGTGAAATTTCGACTAATTTCCTCTTTATTTCCTCTTTTTCTCTTTCTAAATATTCTTATCCCCCTTCTTCCCCCATCCGCCACATATTTCGTCACCCGCGTTTCGCTTTTGGAGCTCTCCTATTCTTGCGTAAGGCTTCGGCTTCAGACTCCGCTCCGTGGTCGCGTGTCTAGTTCATTCCGTCATTCCTCATGAGTCCAGTCATCCGCTACAACTTCGCCTCCGATTACTTCACTGTCCACCTTGACTCGTGAGCGGGACGGAGTTTCAGTCCATCAGACGCCATGGCGATATGGCCATTTGGTCGGAAGAGCAAGCGGCACACGATCCAGCTCGATGCTCCTGCGGTGTCGGAGGTTCCGCCGCAGGACCCTCGCCACAGCTTCGATGGCAGCAAGCTAGACAGCAAGCCCTCTCGCAAATCCTCGAAACGTCAGAAGAACCGACACATTACGCCCACTGAAGATTTTCCGAGCTCTCTGCACGATGTCCCTCCAGCTATGTCCCACAGCGAGCAACCGGCTTCAATAAGAGGAACCCGGCAACTGTCCTCCCGGCTTGGTCAACAGCAGTCCGATGGCTACACTTCTCACTCCAACACAAGCTATGACCAGCCTACCTTAACTCGATCTGGATCGCTCCTAAAGTCGAAAAGAAGCGTGAGCGGACCAGCAGTCCTGAAGAAGAAACTTAGCAAGCGTAAGGCATACGAGATTGCCAGGGAACGGGAGATCAGATTGATGGCTTCCGCGCCGATTGACATTCCTCGTCGCCCATCCCCGCTCCCTAGTGAGCACTTCTCTGTCGAAACCCGCAAAGGCCTCGGGGCTCCAAGTCGTCGTTCAGACCGCCACTTGTCTGACGTCAGTTTGTCCGTCCGTGACTCAACTGAGTCGTCGTTATCCGACATCTTTGAGTTCTACACGTTCAAGGTCAACACTTTCGCAGCTTGGACTCCCCGCCCGATCATTCGTTATGTGGAAGCTCCCAAGCCTTCCACTGCGAAAAGCCAGAAGTCGCCTGAGACAGTGAGCAAGAAAGACAAGGTGCCACCATTTGCTGCGTCTGACGAAAATGCTCATTCGAATAAGAAGGTAAACGACCTGGCTGATGCTCTGGACGCTGGTGCTCTTCGGGAGTTGTTGGAAAGAGATCGCCGGCGCAGGGAGAGGAAGCAGGCCGAGGATCAAGAGAAATTGCAACGCAAGTTGCACCAAGCCGCTGACCAACAACGGCAGCACCCGTTGGACCAGGCTGCCGATCTCCCCACACCGAAGCATCAGCCTGAAATGGAAGAGGCATCTACGACCCAAAGAGGCCGGCCTGGTGCTGGTAGTCGGGCTACACCGGTTTCTTTCGATGAGGGTGTCACTAGATCTGGAGACACCAAGACTTCCCTGGGTGGTACCCCCCCGTCAGGGTCATGGCTGAGAGGAGTCTCCAAAGATTCTGAGCGACAAGGCTGCGAAACTCCAGAGCGTGCTAATGTCATTGGCAATATTGACGATAGCTCTATCCGTGGACGTAAGGTTGTCCCGCGGCGTAGCTTCGCTCCGTCCACAGAGATGGGAATGTCTCGCAGCAGCCTGACTCCCTCTCATTCACCGTCGAGGCGCGGGGTCTACAGTCCAACTTCTTCGCACCTGTATGGTCTCGGTCGAGAATCAACATCGGATGTCTCAAGGACAATCGACTCTGACCGGCGTCTGTCGGACAATAGCAGTGGTCGTGTGAACACTTTGACCTCAATCTTTCGCCGTGGGAGCTCACGCCTCAAGAGAAGCTACCGAGAACGTTTCCATGAAAGGAGCCCTGAGCCGTCGAACCCGTCGCATGAATCCTTTTTTAAAGTCCAGACACAGTCCTCGTCCGGTCCGGCGCCGTACGTGCCGCCCAAGGCATTCCTTGGCACGGGCACGATCAAGCGCTCCCAATCGAAATTCACGGAACATTTCGGTGACGAACCTCTATCACCACCTGACTCACGTCTCCAGTCCCCTGATATACCAGAAGTGGCTGATGAGTTTGAGAGGGACGATGACAACTCTGATGTTAACATGGTTACTCAGTACCCTATTCCAAGCTCTGCCTCCGATGTCCCGGATTCTCGCAACAACCATCACGACTCGTGGGGAGGCGAAAGCTGGGATGGCAACCCGGATAACGTTCCACTATCTCAGTCTCTAGCGTCGATCGATTCCGAGGGGTCGTGGATGTCAGGGCAATTTCTTCGTCGCATATCTCAGAAGAAAACTAGTAACCCCCTTCGGACTAGTCTCAGTTCATCAAGGAACAAGCTCGAGGAAGGCCACGAGGACTCCCTCAAAGGTGACGAAGTATCACTCAATGAACCCTTCGTGAGATTTGGAGCTGAGCAAGATGAGCCTTCGCGGGTCGGACATGGTGCAGGTGCTCAGCGAGATAGTACCATGACCGTTGACCATACACAAGACCCAGCAGAGGAAACATGGCATGCTCAAGTTGCGAGGCGTCCTGTGCTGGTGAATCCGGCAGTCCGTCCCAAGTCAAACGAGGGCCTGCTCAAAACCATTCTATCTGCCGATGAGGAGTTCAGCCCCATTGAAGAACACTCCGCTGAATTTGAGTTCGACACAAACGAAGAATACGATATAGGGCGCGCCCTCTGAGTGTGTGATTTGTATTGCGTACGAGCGACATGCGTTCACCCGACCCCTTTGACCAATGGGTCACATTTTGACGGCCTTTCCCCCTCTCATGAGACAAAGAAGCACCTAATTCGCGTCGCTCCAGTCTCTATTTATCTAATTTCATGTAATAATTCCCTTCTCCCCTGCTGACCCTAGTCACTCCTTTGGTTCTTCTTTCCTTTGTCGCTCCCTTGACTTCTCTTCTGCGATTCCCTCCTCACATATTGATGGAATTTGCATCTAGTTCTGGTGGCGCTTGAAGTGGCCACGCGCGTTTTTCTTCCTTCGCTGCCCCGTCAAGCCCGGTCTTCGTCCCCGACTTGCTGGCAGGTTTTGTTCTTGCATTTGTTGATACCCCACATCAGCGAGAGTTTGAAGGAGTTTGCCTCGATCGTCGATCAAATGCTGTTATTTGATTCTCGTGCGGATTTATGTCTTCATTAGAGGTGAAGCACTCTCCCGTTTCAGTTCAATGCACATATTGGCGTATACCTAGAATAGTTTCTGTCCTTGTTTGGTGTCAGTCACCCCACAATGATATCTCTTCCCATTTCCAACAATGGCTATTGTTTGATGTCTGCATGAACAGTCGATGTGTCCGTAACTGCTCAATGGGTTGAGTAAAGATACACACTCCTTTTGACCACGACCAAGTAAATTTGCGTAAATTGGTGTATGGGTGTAGTGGTACACTAAGAAGGAGGTCGATTGCTGTTTGTTGGGGCGGCGAGGGGTGCAGTAGTTAGTCAGCAAGCCTAAGGCATGGTTCAGGCACACACCCGGCAGCTTCTGTCCAGACCGTTCGCTATTCATAAGCGACGGAGCACGTCATCCGAATAATACTAATGCACCGGTTTTTGAAACTGTCTTCCAGCCCAACCCTTGTGCTTCCCGAACGGCGAACCAATTGCTTCCAACACCCATTCTATACTATCTATTCACACTATTCATACAATACTATTATATTCTACGGAGTAGATTGATTAGTATTCTGCAAGATGTCGACTGCCAACCTGACAAATGCCTCTAACCTGCTGCGCCTCTCCCGCGGCGTGACATCTTGGTAAGCTGCCTCCCACCTAACTACCTACCTGTGAATCATCTCAAGTTCCCCCTTTCAAATCCCAATCCCTTCTTCCACCGCCTCCGAGAGGCTTCGACCGCGGTGATTAGTCAGAGGCAGCCGCCAGTCCCTCCCATCCTCCCACGGTGCAACGTCATTTGCGCCCACCCATAAAAACTGCGGACTGAGCCCCTCCTTTTCGGCCTCAGCCCCTCTTCACTGGACCATTCCGAGCTAATCTCAATTCTCTTCCTAAACCTTTCTCCAGTCTTAAATCATCCGCTCGCCTGTCTTCTCTCTCCTCCGCTAGATTTTCTACTACTCCATCCTCCACTTTCCTGCGTTCCAACTTCGTCCAGCGCTTCCCTGCCGCGAATCCTCTAAGCCGCCGCTCTTTCTCTCAATCTCACTCCGTCAAATTCAACCCCACACAATCCAACATGTCTGACCACGGCAAGGTTTACGAGATCAAGTCGTGAGTTCCCCCTTTCGCCCCTCAATTGACTCGGAAACTGCCGTCTGCTATGATCGGCTGTGCATCAGTGATACTAACATTCGCATAGCACTGAGGAATTCAGAGAGAAGGTCACCAACTCCCAGGACGCCATTGTTCTCGACTGCTTCGCCACGTGGTGCGGTCCTTGCAAGGCCATCGCCCCCAAGGTCGCCCAGTTCAGCGAACAATACCCCCAGGCCAAGTTCTACTTGATCGACGTCGACGAGCTTTCCGAGGTTGCTGCCGAGCTCGGTGTCCGCGCCATGCCCACCTTCATGCTGTTCAAGGGCGGCGAGAAGGTCAAGGACGTCGTCGGTGCCAACCCCCCCGCTCTTGAGGCCGGTATCAAGGCTCTCCTCGCATAAATTCGTTCGAATGTGTGGCGAAGGATGGTTTTATTTTTCTAGTGTATGAAATGACAAACGTTTGAACAATTTATACTTCCCTGACTGTAGGCTGCTATGGGTGCAGCTGACGAGGCTGGGTATTTTCCATGGCCGGCGATAGGGACGGACTTTAGACGGTTTTCTTGCCTTCGCTCGAATACTACGTGCCTCCTGAATGCCTCAGATTGATCTTACCATTGTAGTAAGAGTGATTGAGAACCAATCTCCACAGATGTCTGGTTCGATGTTGGGTCCTCGTACCGTCCTTGGTAGTTCGCGCTGCATGACTTGCAGAGAGCAGACAGTGCGATTCGTTAAGGTACAGCCACTTAGTTTCAATGAGTATTATTGGAAGAAGAGATGTAAGCAGCTACAACATAAAAGAAAACTGGATCCAAAAAACGAACGGAACTTCCACACATCACCATGTAATGCAACCCGGAGGTAGAGACGCAAACCCGAATCGGGAATAGTGATTCGCCTCCAGCGGCTGCAGGTGCCAGACCTGCCTAACCTTTCTCCACCTACATACATCTGCATCACGCATTCAGGCGATGCGATGGGCTTCTGGGCTGTCGCGCGTCCAATTGTCGCCTTTACAGAACTGTGATGTCAATCGCCATCCTTCCCATTCCAAGGCCTCGACAGAGTTAAAGATGACATCGTCGAACAAAGTATAATATCACCAAGGTCCGGCCAAGTTTTAGCACCCGTATGCATCGGCAACAACCCGCTGTGGACATAAGTATGCTATCTGTTGCAATCTGCTGCCCTTGTTCAGAGTATTCCAGGGGACCCTCTCATTCTTTTACTCGCTCTTCTTGAGATGAGCGTGCAATGGAAAGGTCTATGACTGCAATAGGACGACCATTACTCAAACTGGTCCGATTGTGTACCGAAGTCTTCCGTGGCCTTACAATGCGACAGTTATTTGCTTGGAAACCCCAATGGCCGACTATGTCCAGTGTTGAGAATGGACCGATGACCTGTGCGAGGCCTAGCAGACCAATATCGGGTGGGCTTGAGCCAACAAACACAAGCCACTCTGACGATGATGCCGGGCTTGAGGTCTATTGGGAAACAGGTGATCCCGAGAACCCGCGCAATTGGTCGGCTGCATACAGGAGCTTCATTGTCGGAGCGGTATCCGTGTCAAGTGCCTGCGCGTAAGTAGCCTGATGACGTATCAAATAGTGACTCGGTGGCAATGCTGATTGTCCCCGAGGATATCATATTCCACATCCTATACTCCAGGTATTCTAGGGATCAAAGAATCATTTGACATTTCGTCGGACACCGTTGTGTTGCTCGGCTTGACTACCTATATGCTCGGTCTGGCATTCGGATGTCTTATGTTCGCCTCGTTGTCGGAGCTGTACGGTCGTCGGCCGGTGTACTTGATCACCACCCTCGCTTTCGCCTGCTCGCTGATACCTGTGGCCCTGGCTCGGAATATACACACTATTCTTGTCTGTAGAGCACTTGGAGGATTCTTCGGTAGTGCGACTATTGCGGGCGGTCCGGGGACAATCAACGACGTGACCAGCAGAAGGTACCGGGCGCTGGCGTTCAGTCTCTGGAGTCTTGGGGCGATGACCGGTTCGGTAATTGGTACCAAGTGAAGTGCTGGGGACGGCTTCTGAGTTCGTTCCACAGAACTGACGGAAATGCAGGTCCCACTTTTGGCGGATTTGTCTACCAGTATCTCGGCTGGCGCTGGATCAACTGGATCATACTCTGCTGGGCAGGCATATCAGCTGTGGCTTTGTTCTTGTCCAAGGAGACAAATGAGCCGGCGATACTGCGGGCAAGGGCCCGAAAGCAACAGGAACAGACTGGGGACTTGCGGTGGTGGTGTCGCTATGATAGCCCCAAAGTGGGCTGGGACCTTTTGCGAAGCCATCTGGTAAGACCTATCATCATGGCCGTATGTGAGCCCATCTGGTACGTCTTTGACCTCCCGGCTCTGCCGATGCGTGAGTGTCTCCGGAGTAAGTTTCACTGATCCTTCACTGTCTCCTGCCTAAACAGCTTATTCTAGAACCTCTACGTCGGTGTCATATATGCTACTCTATTTCTGTGCTTCGTCGGCTACCCGATTGCCTTCCAAGAGCATCGCGGCTGGCCACCCGGCATCGCACGACTAGGCTACTGTGGTATCGGCACCGGTGTCGTCCTCGCCGTCCTCAGCGAGCCCATCTTCCTCCGCCGCATCATCGCCAGCCATCCGCGGGACCCCTGCACAGGCCAGATCGCCCTGAGGCCTCCATCTTTGCCGTCTGCCTCGGGGCCATTCTCAGCCCCATGGGGGGATTCTGGTTCTCGTGGACAGCGGTAGCAACAACGACCACTGCCCAATCCAGCAGTGCGCCCACTTACACGCACTGGATCTATTCAATCCTGGCCGGTGTCCCCTTCGGCATGGGCAACACCCTCATCTTCATCTACTCGGCCCATTACCTGGCGGGGAGCTACCCCATCTGCGCCGCCTCGGCGGTGGCGGGAAACGCGATGGTTCGGTACGTCTTTGCGGGTGCGCTCCCGTTGGCGGGCGCCCGGCTGTATGCGAGTTTGGGGATCGCGTGGACGGGCACGCTGCTGGGACTGGTGGAGGTGGCGCTGATCCCGATTCCGATCGTGTTTTATCGATATGGGTGGCGGGTGAGGCGGCGGAGTGCGTTGTTGAGGGAATTGGTGGGAGTGTAAGGGATAGGAGGGTATATAGAGTCGCTGGACACGGCATAGGATGTTGATGACGGCGTCGCATGGTTATCAAGCTGCGCACGGGGAGATGGATCTCCAGTGAATCAGCTAGGTCGACGGCTGGGACGAATCTTCTAGAAGGCGGATCGCCTTGCATGCACATAAGTTATCCCTGCATGCATGCTGCATGCATGTATACATGCACCTTATAACACTAAAAGAACGAATCAGCTCGCAATATGAGTTGACAAGTGATCGGGTTATACTTATATTTGCTTCGTTTTCGTTTCCTGGTCTCCAGTCCCCAGCTCTTCTGCATATTTTATGTAGATTCATCAGGACACTTCCCTCCATACTGAAAGAACACTGCCGTATACTTTGCGGATCCACCCCGAATTGAAGTTCGTTCTATCATAGACAGCTGCAGTCCTACAATCCCAAGCGACCGCAGCGCTGTGTCTTACAATCCCCAATAGTGTATATACTACGTATCTCAATCAGATACCCGACTACCACTTGACTTAATCAACTCGGAATCCCCACTCAACCCCATCGTAGGATTTCCAAGTCGGTGCCAGCCGCCCCGTGGAGAAAATGTACGTACGTACGTGTTGGTCTCTAGATGTTCGGCTACCTGCGTGGACATAGAAGTCCCGGTAACCCCACCAGACACCGGGGATGATATCCGGTTCTTCCGATGGCCCGTTGGGGGTTCGGTGCTTGCCGTTTTGGTTGGTGGGGTTTGGTTTGGATGGATGATGGTGGAGGATAGGGGTCCCACTGCTGTACAGGTGTTTCTCTTGCACGGTTTGGCAGGGTAAGCCTGATGGGGGATTGGGATTGTAGTTTTCACGCGGGTTGAAGGAGGTTGGGGAGGTGGGGGGGGGGTTTGCCCCTTTGTGGTTGAAGTATGCGTGTATGTGTATATGCGTGTATGTGTATATGCGTGTATGTGTATATGCGTGTATGTGTATATGCGTGTATGTGTATATGTGTGTGTGTGGATGGGTGGGTGGGTGAATGGGTGAAGTGTATATATGCGCCGAAAACCGCGTTGTAGCTCTTTTCGAATCTATAAGGTCGGTGGTCGGAGGTCGGAGAAGTACATACCCGGCGATCTTGCTCGGCTACTTATAGATGGAAAGGAGGGGAGGTTTCATATCCTCGTACTCGAGTCAGTCGGGTCGTTCGAGCTGAGTTGTTGTGTCAATGATGGTGACGGTGAGGGTGATGGGGGCTGCTGTGCTCTTTTTGTCTTGTTGGGGCGATCTGGAAACAAAAGCGGGGAATGTTCATCGCATTGTGTCATTTCAGGCGGGTTGTCAACTTCGCTTGGAGCAGAGCAGTGAGCCGCAGAAGATTCTTTTATTTTCCAAGGAGGATATCGATCCCGGGGATTCTGGAAACTGATTTACGATTCCGGCGTGAAGCTCTTGCGGGGCGGGGCCTGGTGCATGCAATATGCAATATGCGGTGGTATATGGCATGATCTGATCTGCCGGACTACTCAGTAGTAGTAGTAGTGGTGGGGGTGGGTCGCGGCTCGCGAGGAAGAGGTATGCGGAATTGATTAATTGAACAAGAGGAAGAAACGGAGATGGGGCCCCGGTGGGTGCGCCGTGGTTTCAGGTTCAGTTCGCATTTCCGTGTTTTGTGGGGAGGGTTCAGCTGGTTGTGCTCTGTTGTTCATTTTTATGTTGGCTGAGAGGGTAAGATGGTGATGGTTTGTTCTTTTGTTTACTCACTGGGGAAGGCACTTCGTGTACTGGACAAGCCGGGTTGCGACTCGGTGAGGAAAGACTAGATTTTAACTTCAATTTCAAGGCACTGCTTGTTGATCCGTAGCCAAGCCACCCCGCCGCAGACAGCTGGTCACTGTTCGTGTCTATTTGTCATGGTTGAGGAATGCTCGAATTTGAGATGTCCTCATACTTCATGGGTGAATCGGGATTGGTTAGTTGATAGCAGATCCTAAGCTGTGAAGCTGGGGACGACCCCTTCACAGCACAGGACTGAATTACTGAGCAGGTTAAGGCACCGAGTCATGATCCCCCAGACCAAGCGCCTCGACGGCACCTTCTCCCGTGCAGATATCAATCCCGAACCTCGACTGCCGAACATGTCTACGAGTCAAGTAAGGCATTATTGCGAAGGGTACTCCCCGCATCAACGAGTGTCTCCCCGAGTCGAGGTCGAATAGTTCATGCGGAACTCAATCGCGATCAATAGCATTGTACAGTACAGCTTCCACAGCTACACCCACGAGTCGACGATAACTTTATTCCTCCAAACTCAGATTCATACATCCACCAAGCCAAAGTCCATCTCTTGTTTACGCCTTCATTATTGAGGTCCCTTCTTCCCAAACTTCAGACTCCAGGAAACTTTGAGTGGCGTCCAGTACCTGACTTGACACGCTAAGCCTCTTCCAGTCTGCCACGAGGTACGAGTACTTTTTATCAATCGCCGGGCGTTATTGTCACCTTGATCGATCATGGGCCGGCCACGGAACCAACCCTGGGATTGGAGGAACCGACAATCCACATTGTGACACACACGTTTTGCCGAATTTTCCCATGATTCCGCCACCGCAGATTTGGAAGGGGGATCGTGGTTCTGGTCACATGGTGGTCGTTGCGTCTAGAACCAAGCCACTAGGGGCAAAAAGAGAGTTTGCGTTCGTCTAAAAGCCTCTTTTGTTCGAATGGAAAGCCCAGGAAAAGCAAGGCAGCGGATCGGATGCTAGGCCCAAAAGTGCCTGGAAACCATCGGAGGACACCCCAATGAGAAGCCAGACCAAAACACTGGCAGGGCGCGAACACAACCATGAACTTCAGTTACCTTGGTTGTTGGTACCGCCCACGGTGAGATTCACCGGATCTAGAGCCGTCCCAGTGCGTTGGCACTAAAAAGAAAAACCTTGCGTGATAAGCTGGCGTTCGGTATCAATGTGCGTAAACGAGCACGTTTCAGAGTCACATAGCGCGAGTCAGTGCAGGGAAGCGAAAATGACAGCAAAGCTTGACTCTTATCGCTTATGCTGGCTGCTGGCTGCCTTCAATAAGCGGATTGAATGAGTGCATCGCTTAAACAGCAAAGAGTCCCAGATTCAATCTCAGTCGGCGGCGGGTTCATCCGCTAGCCAGATCGGGACTAACCTCAGGATCCGTCCGCGATCGAAGGCGCTGGCCGCTAAACTCACTTCAGTTCGAATCTTTTGCTCTGCTCCACTTCACAATTTTTGCTTCACCAAGTTCAGTGGAATTTGTCTCACCTGTGCCGGCACTGCCAGCACGCGCATGATCTCCCAGACTCCCACGCTCCGGAGTGGTTTTACCTCGGTGTCAGTTCCAGTTCCTGCGGATGCGCGCACGACGCACTAATCATCACCAGGGTCCTTGACCTTCTCCCATGTGGTGATTTCCCCGAGGTCTGGTCTCGCTTGTCATCCCACCCAATCTCTCTAGCCTCTTAGCCTAACTAAATACTCGCCGGCGTCATGGATAGCAATGGAGATATGTCCCAATCCGTTTGGTCAATTTCTCCGGCTGTGATCCTTGGAACGTGCTGTCTCTCACCTTTTCGAGACGGATCTCACTAGCCTTCAGCTATCAGGCCTGGCTGACGACAACCAAGGCCTTGGTTTATTGCTGACATCCTTCGGGCCTACATCCCCTCTTCCTGCCAATTGGCAAGGGAGCTACAAACCAGCTTGTGAATTAACAACCAGGATGCTGGCTGCACTTGACTCGCGTCCACCTTGCTTGCCTGTCTGCTCTCTCCCGGTAATGTGGGTAATAGAGCAGATTGTCCCTCGGAGAAGAGCGAGAGCGCAATCTATTCACTGAGCGGCGGCGCCGACCTAAGGTCTCTAGCCCATATCTCCGAGAATTGGCCAGATCGTTCTTCCTGATACGCCAGCGGCCAGCACCTGGACCCAGTTTTGTTAATTAACGTTCAGCTGCTGTGGCTGACTGGGTTTGCAAATGTGTAATCACAGGCCGTGGTTGTTTGACAGGGCTGGATCGTGACTCGCCAACGTCAGTGCCCACTCTCCATCGTTCCTGATCACTGATCACAGGATTTCCGGAACCGATTTACTGCTGCAATCGGACCCAGTCTTGGCTCTGAAAAAAACATTCCCGATGGCCTCTAATCGTGCTCTCCTCCCCAGCAGACATGTTCTTGCTTGTCTTGAATGGCCACCAGAAAAGCGGGACCTCACCCTCGTACTGCTCCGCAGACGCAAATTGAACGTCCATAACCAAGACTCGTAGAAGAGGGGAAATGAATCCATGGCGCTCCGCCGTCGCTAGCCCTCGTCCACTCGCCATGTCCTCGTCTAGCCCTGGCTGAATTCTAATATATTATTTGCCCTTAATTTCAGCATGCCCCGAGATCCTGGTTCCTGGAGGAGTCCGGCCAGACCCGCGAATTGAGTGCGCGGTACAGATATCAGCTCGATCCTTCTGATTGATTATATTACCAAAAGATCTCCCTTGGGGTGAGCAGTCTGGCTTTCCCCATCCCGGGCTTATTCCTCACTCTTTCTTCAATTCTCTCCCCAATGCGCCACCGGATTGCCGCTCGCTTGTAAGATTTTAGGCCTTGACGTCCTCGATGCAGTAACCCAACCTCTATCTTTCTCTCGTGGTTCTTGACCTTCCTGGCGACCTTTGCTCTCGCCAGAGCCCTTTGCTGAGAGGATGTGGCTCATAGACAGGACTCTCCAGGAGTCGATCCCTGTGTCATACCTCGGGGGCTATATCTTTCTTTCATATGTCGTGAGCATGATGGGATGTACGACTACCCTGGAGCTGCTTCACCGGCGAACTTCCAGGGCTGGTCTGTACAATTGGTAAGTGAATAGTCCGACGTCAGGCTCCTCCATGGACTGTTGAACACCTCTGACCACCCAGCTAGGTATCTCCTTCTTACCTCCTCACTCGTTATGGGAGGCATTGGCATCTGGTGTATGCACTTCATTGGGAACCGCGCTATTG